CCCTCCCCTCCCCTCCCCTGCACAAAGGATATCCAGGTTGTCTTTAATCTATACGGGGTGCAGAAGTACAAGTTCCATCTGCAGCTGAGGTACCTGAGGGTCTGTGTTAATTGCAGATTCTGACTGTGGGAAGGAGAGGAAGGAGAGGAAGGAGAGGAAGGAAGGCCTGGTTCTGGGAAGACGCTTGCACTCGAAGGTGTTTGCTGATGTGTGTATGTGGGGTCCATTCGTAGTTCATCTTAAATACCAGAGGCGCGGGGGTGGGCAGACAGGTATTACATGAATATGGAAATGAATCTTCATTGTCCTTGAACAACATGGTGGTCCAGGGCTGAGGTGTCTGGGGCACTGCCTGATGAGGGTAGGCACGGGTGGGTGTCCGGCGGGGCACTGGGGGTGCTCAGTGCCCTCTGTTTTTCACTGCCTTTTCTTCAGTTCTAGTCTGGAGGCTGTGGTTTGCCCCTCGGGGTGAGTACCCACCAGGACTTGTCTGAGGCCCTTCGGGGGACCTCACAGACAGGGTGCTGAGCTGGGTTGAAGCCCAGAAAGGCTGGTGTGCCAGCACACCAGGCCTTGGGATCCCCCCCCCCCAAGTTGTCTCATGTGTTACTATCGTCAGACAGGACTTGAACCCGCTGCCTGGTGCTCTCAGGCCTGCACAAGGCCTGCCCTTTGCCTGGAGCCCGTGCACCTGTCTCTAGGAGGGTGATGGTGTCCTCCACATTCCCCCCCACTTCCTCCCACCCCAGTTGCTGGGCCAGCTCAGGCCGCGGGAGCCCAGGAGTGGGGACAGTGTAGGGAGGACTTGGGAGCGCTGGCCTGTTGCGCACGCGTTTGGCTCCCTGGTCCTCCTGTGAGGAATCAGAGGCCTGTGCTGCTGGAAGTTGAGGTGTGTGCACATGCATGTTCACTGTGTGTGTCACGCTCAGCTGCACATGCCACATGCATGTTCACAGGGTGTCATGATCAGCTGTACACCCATGCTCACATGTGCACATCATGCTCTGGTGTACATGCATGTTCAGTGTGTGTGACACACTCGGTGTACATACATGTTCCTATGTGCGTGATGCACTCTGGCCATCCTGCTGACTCCACTCCAGCACCCCTTGCTCCCGTGTGGTTGTTGCTGTTTGTGCTGACCTGGATTGATCTGGCTTGGGAAGGGGTGTGGTTTGGCCTGCGCTGAGGACCGGTGGGTGCCTTCATCTGATCCAACCTTGGGGGCATCAACTTGACTGGGTTCTGCTGCCCAGTGGTGGAGGCCAGTGCTCGTGGCCATCCTGTCAGGCCGTAGAGCTGATGTCGGCTGTGCTCTGTCTCCCCGGCCTCCGATGGCAGGTCTCTGCTGACCCTGTGATTTCTGCCTGCCAGCCAGAGCCAGGACACACTGTGGGTGCTGGCCCAGGGCAAAGCCTTCTGCTCCTGAGCCCGTTATTTCTCTGTTGTTGCCGCCTTACTGATTCTGGTCCCCTCCTCCCACCTCTAGTTCCTGTGTTTGAAGAATATACGCACCTTCCTCAAAGTCTGCCACGACAAGTTTGGACTAAGGAACAGTGAGCTGTTTGACCCCTTTGACCTCTTCGATGTCCGAGACTTTGGAAAGGTGAGTGGACTAGCCATGTACTGTGGCCAAGCATGCTGGGTCTCAGATGCAGAGTAGGCCTGCCTGGCTCTCCAGCCCGGAAGTTTCCTCCCTTCCACGTGGCTGGCAGGCACTGGCAGGACCAGGTCACCACCAGGAGTGTGCAGAAGTTGGGGTACATTGGGCAGGGCTGTGGGGAGAGCTCCCCATCTCACCTGCTGTGCCCAAGTCCAGACAGGTGGGAGGAAGCAGAGTGGGGTGGCCACCGCTGGTGCTGGACAGGGGATGCTGAGGCTGGACAGGTGCAGAGACTCTGGGGGCTGTGGCTCACTGGTGGCTTTCTGGTGGGGCTGAATGACCCAGCGTGCCATGTGGTATTGAAAGTACAGCAGACCTGTGGTAACTTCTGTGCAGTGGACAGGATGACACTGCAGAAAGTCTGGATAGGCAGGCGCTGGCAGCTTGTGTGGCCCCCATACCCCCCTCTTCAACCCCCCCCCCCCCAGGCTTTGGAGGCCACAGGCTGCCTGGGCCTTGACTGCCACTTCCTGCACTACCAGAGCTGCCGCTTTTGCCTACTGATGGGATGTTGCAGGTATTTGTTGCCTAATTTACCATTTTCACTGGCTTAGTGTTAGAGGAAATGCTCTGTGAACCCATGATTTGCAAACCACCAAGGGAAGAGAGTGTTTGCCATGGCAAATGCTGAGACGTCAGATCCACCAGGAGGCCCTTGGTGAGGCGCTGCAGCGTGGCAGCCTGACTGAGATGCCACCACGGTCACGCGGGCCCGGCCCATCACGCCTCCTACCCCAGGAATCCTTCCTACCTTTCAGATCTTGTCACTGGTTTCAGTCCAGCTTCTAGAACTTCCTTTCCATCTGTGTGTGTGTGTGTGTGTGTGCGCGTGCGTGCGTGCGTGCATGCGTGTGTGCGCGCGCATACAAGTTGCAAGTATGCATGTGTGTGTATGCATGTGTGTGTGTGTACAGCCAAGTACTGGTGATTGAACTCAGGGCCTGGGTGCCATCCCTTAGCTTTTTCGCTCAAGGTTAGCACTCTTGCTCTGAGCTACAACCCCCATTGTGGCTTTTTGCTGGTTAATTGGAGGTAAGAGTCGTATGGACTTTCCTTCTCAGGCTGGCTTCAAGCTTTGATCCTCAGATCTCAGCCTCCTGAGCAGCTGGGATGACCAGCATGAGCCGCCAGCACCCGGCACTGTCCATCTCGTCCATTGTATTTCTGCACGGTGTAGGGAGAGTCAGGCTTCCCTGTTCACCAAACTGTGCGTCAGCTCAGACCTCAGGCCGGGGGAGCTTGGGTGGTACCTGCTGGGCGGAGATCCTGGCCTGTTTGTGGTTCTCCACTCCACAGGTCTGTTAAAATGCTTGCAATGCTCTCCTAGACTTGTCCTTGTGAACAGATGAGATGGATTGGACCCAGGGCAGGGAGAGGCTGGAGGTCACATACACACGCGCACACTGTACACTCATTTACGGCATACATTCCCACATCCCCACATCTCCAGATAGAGCACAAGTCGCTTTCTTGCTCATGCACACCCGGACACACACATGAACAAATGCAAATGGCACTGAAAATAATTGCAAAGAGGAAACACCCTGGCCAAACCCATGTCTTGGTCAAGAGTTAAAACCCCTGCTCAGCATATAATTTTGTTTTCATTTGCTGCAATGGAATGCAGTGATGTAAGACCTCCATAAATCCGAATTAAGTTCCCATTATGCGACCGGCCAGCTGTGTGGCCAGCAGTGTGCAAGGGACCCAGTTGTCACCATCAGCAGTTTCCAGGAAGTGGCCTGGGCTGCGCGTGCTTGTACCAGCCCCTATGTGGAGGGAAAGAGTCTTCCTTAGGGCTTTTTATTTTTTGGTGCTAGTATCAGAGCTTGAACTCAGACCTGCAGTGCTGTTTCTGAGCTTTTTCAGTCAGGGCTGACGCTCTACCACTTGAACCATAGCGTCACTTCCTGGCTTTTTGCTGGAGAATAAGCGTCTCACAGACTTTCCTGCCTAGGCGGGCTTTGACCCATGATCCTCAGATCTCAGCCTCCTGAGTAACTAGGATTACAGGCGTGAGCTGCTGGTGCTTGGATTTCTCTTGGACTTCTTGCTGTGGCCTCTGGTCTGAGTCATATGTGATGGTCAGTAGTGGTCCTCACCCATCCTGGTGTCTGCTTGTAGGACCAGGAGTGGGCAGTGAGCTGAGTCAGCTTGCCTGTGGGGGACTGGAGTGACAGTGTTACTCTGACCCTCAGGCTGGGCGGAGGGAATTAAGGTTCCTGCTTTTCTTGCTCAGGGTCAGTGGAAAGGCAGGGCTGGAGACAGCTCCTGGGGCTGCTCAGGGCTGCCAGCTACCCGAGGCCGATCGGGCTGAGTGAATCAGGCTCCTCTTGTTGTCCTGGGATTATCAGTGTGAGCTCCCACACCGGGCCTCCATGGTAAATGGCAGTGAAAATGCCATCCTCCAGTTGCATTGAGTGGGAGTGAATTGTGTCTGTGCCTCGAGCATGTGGCCATGGTCCAGGGGCTCTGGTCCTTCCTGGTTCTACACCTGAGCTGGCGTCCTCTGGGCCACGTGGAGGGGGCCCGTGCAGTCTGTGCGGGTGCTGGGTTGGCTGGGGACCAGGCCACCGAGGACTCTGCTGGATGCTGGCTTCCTGGGTCCTGCACCTGCCAGCCATGGTGGCCCCGCCCAGCCCTAGGCTGGCGCCTCCAGCCTGCTTTCCTGGGCCCATCTGGTGAGGCCCGGGTGGTCTCCTCCTCCTTACAGAGATTAAACTGATACAGGTACCCCAGGTGGGAGAGGCAGGGCTGGGGCTTGGGTCCCTCTGCCCCTGGGGGAGAAGGTCTGCGCTCCTGTCCCTCTGCTTCAGAGAGGAGCCAGTGCCCCTCATGGCTGTAGGTATGTTTTCAAGCATTTCCCTGGGCCCATATCCACCTTCCATCCATTGTGGGGGTCACCCATGGCCGCCCCACTTGGACCCCAGCAATATTGAGCCACAAAGCTGTGGTGCTTTGTGGTGCTTACCCACCCTCCCTCCTTCCCCTTTCTCTCTCTCTCTCTCCCCATCTACCCATTCTTCCTCCGCTCCCTCCCTCCTTTCTCTCCACCCCTCCCTTCTTCCCTCCTTCTACCCATCACTCAAGCAGTAATTCACTGAACCTTTTTTTTGGGGGTCCAGTCGTGGGGCCTGAACTCTGGGCCTGGGCGCTGTCCCTCAGCTCTTCAGCTCAAGGCTAGCGCTCTACCACTTGAGCCACAGCACCACTTCCGGCTTTTTTTCTTTTTGCTTATGTGGTGCTGAGGAATCAAACCCAGGGCCTCAGGCATGCAAGGCAAGCACTCTACCACTGAGCCACCTTCCCAGCCCTCACTGAGCCTTTGTGTGTGTGTGTGTGTGTGTTGTTCCTGGGGCTTGAACTCAGGGCCTGGGCACTGTCCTTGAGCTTTTCTCAAGGCTAGTTGCTCTACCACTTGAGCCACAGCTCCACTTCCAGGTAGCTGAGAGCCTCTTTAATCCAGGAGGAACCTGGGGAGCCACCCCCCCACCTGCTTGCAGGCTCTCTTTGCTCCGTGACCCAGAGAATCTGGGGGAACCTCTGGAACCCTGAGAGGTCAGGGAGGCTGCTGTGTGCCCTGATTTCGGTCGGGTATGGTCTGTCATGCAGGCTGGCCCTGGCCCAGGCTTCCCAGTCAGGTGAACGGGTGGGAATGAACGCCGCTGGAACTCGGTCTCCTGGGCCTCTCTTTCCACAGGAACAGAGGGTAGACTGTGGCTGTCCTGTTGTGACATTGCTTTGGGACATTTTGTAACATTTTTATTAGGATTTTCTTCCTCCTCCTGGTCACTTGGCCTGTAAGCCCCGGTCCAGAGCGGTCCAGAAAGCTGGTTTCGGAAGCATTTCTCTCTTGACAGCCTTTCCCGGTTCTTTTCCAAAGGGTTGCAGTCTGGCAGGGGAGAGGAGAGGGAGGGCAGGGGTGGGTGGGATGGGTGTGCAGAGGGCTGGTCTGGTTTTGATGGTGAAATTCCACTGGCCTGCCCCATCCCCTGGGCTGCCCAGGGCTCCTTTCTCATCCTCCTTGTGTTCCGGTCTAGGTGGTTTGTCCATCACCGCCCCTCCCACACTAGGTTGCCAGGGTCCTGCAGGGTTTGTGGGGCCTCTCTCTGCAGTTCCAGCCCTGAGGCAGTGCAGGTAATTGGAGAGCAGATGCAGGTGCCTGGCTGTTGGTCCCAGCTCTCTCTCTCCTGTGCTGTCCATTGCTAGTTGGCTCAATGGGGAAGTTCAGGCTCATAGAGCAGACAAGCAGCTCCTTGCTCAAGGTCACAGCCAAGTGCCTGGCTATGGCTTTGGCCCTGTTGCCTGCTGGGCAATAGTTCTCCATTGCTCTCTGAGCTCATTCCCTCAGCTGGGCAGCTTCCCTGGTGGAAAGGGGCAGGGCTCTGGGCAGGGCGAAGCGGGAAGCCCGGAGATGGAGACGTTATTTTTGTCTGTGATGGGAACTGCCTTCCAGTGCTCACTGGCAGCACTTGGCGGGGGCTGAGGTGACAGGACTCAGGAGCGGGGTGTCTGTGGGGAGATGGAAGAGGGAGCCTGGCCTCCAAGCTGCTGGGTCTGCAGGAGGAGGACTGGGACGGTAGCGTGGTTCTGGTGTCTTCCTTCCTGGGCTTGCCCGGCTGCTGCTTGCTCAGCCCCGTAGCCAGCTTGAGTGGGGCTGTGTAGAACTCTCCAGCCTCTTCCACCCTGGGCACCCTGGAACCTCCCCCCCCCTACCATCTCTGATCATCCTGGAACCCCTCCCACCCCTGAGTGTACTGGGACTCCTTCATCCCTGAACATCCTGTAACCATCCTACCCCTAATCATCCCCCCCCCCCGCAAACCCCTGAACATTCTGGAACTTTCCCCTCATATCTGCTCATCCTGGATGGGGTTAGGCCTTCACACTGTCTCCTGGTCTCCCAACTCCCCTGAAGACTGCAGCAGATTTCCATGAGGCCTACTGGGTTCTCTTCCTGTCACGGCCGCTCTCCATGGTGAAAGGACAGGAACGTGACCTCTGCCACCTTGTGCTGTCAGCATGACTACCCATTTAACCCCAGCTCTGGGCCTGTGTATCATGACAAGACACATTCTGCCCTCTGTGCCTCGGTATCCTTTGTGAGATCCTGTCCTCTCTGTGGGACGCAGTGTCATGCTGGCCAGCACGAGTTCAGATGGAGCTGTTGGCCATGTCTAGGTCTCTCCTGCCTTGGAGTCTACATTGCCTGCAGGACCAGAAGGAAGCGGGAATCAGGAGGCAGGCCCTGCTGAACTAGAGCGCTCTGCTTTTTTGTGTGTGCATGCCATTTGCCCAGTTCTTTGCTGAGTGGCAAAGTTTGGAAGAGGGTAAAGGCAGAGTGTGACACCGTGGATCCATCAGGCCTGAGGAAACCTGCCTCCTACCGTTAGCCCTCCGAGAGGTGCTGGTGGAGGGGACCGCTGGGTCCCCAGCTCTCAGCGGTACACTGTGCTGGATATGGGAAGGCTGGTACCATCTGCCTGCGCCCTGGCTCCTTTGGCTGCATTTGTCAGC